CCTAAACCCTAAGCCCTAAACCCAAAATCCTAAATCCAAAGCACTAAACAATATAAAACTAAACCATAAATTGTAAACCCTAAACCCTCACCTCGAAACTCTAAACCCAAAACCCCAAAAACCTAAACCCAAAATCCTAAACACTAAAACCTAAACCCTAAACCCTATACCCTAAACCCTAATCCATAAACCACTAATCTTAAATCCTAAACTGAAACCCTAAACCCTAAATCAAACACTGTAAACCATAAACCCTAAACCTAAACCCTAAACCATAAATCGTAGACTTTAAACCCTAACCCTAAACCTAAATCCTAATCCTTAAACCATAAACCATAAAACTGAAACCCTAAATCCGTAACCCTAAACTCTATGCCATAAATCCTAAACCCTAAACCCTATATGATAAACCCTAAACCCAAATTCTAAACTTAAACCCTAAACCATAATCCTAAATTCTAAACCCTAAACCCTAAGCCCTCACCCTAAACCCTAAACCCTAAACCTAAACCTAAATCCTAAACCCTAAACCTTAAATACTAATCTCTAACCTTAAACCCTAAACCATAAACTCTAACCCTTAACCTAAACCGTACACCTTAAATCCAAACTCTAAACCCTAGCCTAAATATTAAACCCTAAACCATAAATCTTAAACTCTAAACCCTAAATCCCAAACCCTAAATCGTAAACTCTAAATCCTAAACCCTGACCCCTAAACCCTAACACTAAACACTAAATCGTAAACTCTAATAATTATACCCTAAACCCTAACAAATAAACCCTAAACCCTAAACCCTAAACCCAAAATCCTAAATCCAAAGCCCTAAACAATAAAAACTAAACCATAAAATGTAAACCCTGAACTGTCACCTCAAAACTCTAAACCCTAGACCTCAAAATTCTAAACCCAAAATCCTAAACCCAAATCCCTATACCCTAAACACTAATGCATAAACCATAAACCACAAAACCTAAACTATAAACCCTTAACTATAAGAGCTAAGCTCTATACCCTAAACCGTAAACCTTAATCCCTAAACCCTAAACCCTAAACTCTAACCCTAAACCCTCAACCCTAAACACTAAACCTAACCCTAATCGCATCCTCATTTGATGAATTTTTTCTCTCTCTAATTTCTCTATCTAAAAATAGCGCTCAAAATTTTACCCATAACAACTATATTCACACCTGATACACGCACTGTATGAATGGCGCGTGAGCCGCCGGTGGAGCTCTCCCGTCCACCGGACGAAGACCAACTGGAGCGTCATGGAAAGAGCAACAAAACCCAACTAGCCACGCCCCATAATTCATCCTATAGCTCCTCAAATTCGCAAAATACTGAAGCGATCAACACTGCGATTTCAGAGAGGGTCCTGGACGAAACTTGTAAAATCATTTCCCAGAGGTTCATGTTTCGATTCATGGAAAATCGATTAATATTATGAAATCTCCTAATCACGATCTATATTCGACCAAAAACCCAACTGATTCTATCATCCCAATTGAGAGATCTCGCGAGGCGAATTTGGAGAGAAACACAAATAAATTGCAAGAAGTGCGCAGTCAAATTCGACGATCTTCGAGTCAGTTCTTGCATATTCAACTACTGGGGATTACTCTCCACAACTGGAGGTTCATCTCACTGAAATTTTGAGTGAAATGGACGGTGGAATCATCGGTGAGGAAGATTCCGGTGAAACAAGAGGTCAACTCACCGGAGTTCATGGAACTTTAGATAGAGGAATTAATTCTCCTCCCATGGACATCCATCTTTCGGATATATCCAATAATGTCAATGGAGGAAACATCAGAAACACCAATCCAAGGCAATCAATGGATACTCTAACTGATGATCCAATGACATTGAACAGAACGAAAGTCCAGGCCACTCAACATATTGAAGAGGAAGTTGCTGCAATGGAAACACATAATGTTAGCAAACAACAGGACACAAATCAATCTAATGAGGCTCAATCTTCCAATTTTTCCTTTGGTATTGTAGGTAATTCCAGGAACTTAACATCACCTCTTTCATTTGATGCAATGCAGGTTACAACAATACCGGACAAAGGATTTGAGGAACCTGATAAGGATCAACAAAAAAAGGCTCAAGAACCAGGTCAAGGGCATCAGGAGCAAATCACAGAACCACAGGACATACCAGATCAGAACAAAATAACAGAAAAGAACAAAGATAATCAGTAACAAAGGAATGGACAACTACAGAGTGAAACGAATGTACAGAGCAATAGGCAGAGTGAATTGTCAAAACAGGTCGATAACCAAATTCATGGAGGAAATGATAGTCAAAAAGATCAAAGTAAGGCCATTACTCAACATGACTCGACTGATGCACCTCAGAATAGCAAGGAAAGGGCCAACATGCACTACCAAAAAAACTTTCCTAGGATCTCCAACAATTACGCCAGGTATGATCCTAATCTCCAAAAAAATAAGAATGTTACAAGTCAGGATAACTATACTTATAATCAAGGTAATGAGCGACAACTAAACAATCAGCACCATCCTCAAGCTCCCAATAAGACTAAACAGGACAATACCCCGGAACCTGCTCCTTTTACTATAATTAAATCATTTGCTGCTAAGCTTAGATATAATCAATCTAAGGCTGAAACCCCTATTGAATTGAATAATCCTATTCACACCAATAGACAAGGACTGTCGGTTGTGTTACTATAAGAAGATGATTATAATATAAGGTTGGCGGAAAGCTGTAAATACACTCTAGTGGGTAAATTTGCCAATACTATGCCTAAAATGGAGGTGATTAGGAAAAGCTTCATACTTCAGACTCAGCTACCTGGGGGAGTAAAAATAGCTCATTATAACTCTCGACATGTTTATATTGATTTGGATAATGAGTTCGATTATGTTACGGTTTGGACTAAACAAAGAATGAACATAGATGGCCAACTAATGAGAATACAAACTTGGACCCCTGGATTTACCCTTGAGGAAGAAACACCTATAGTTCCTATATGGGTAGCACTGCCTGAACTCCCATGGCACTGCTACAACAAAGACCCCTTGACGACTATTTTGAGTTCCATTGGTAAAGTGCTATACCTTGATTCTCCCACTTCTCAAAAGACTAGAGGTAGCATGGCCAGAGTGAAGATCCAAATCGATCTCACCAAGCCACGACCACCTCATGTTTGGGTGGGATTCAAGAATTCAGACCCCAATAAAGGAAGGTGGCAAAAGGTGCAATATGAAGGGATCCCAGACTACTGCATGTACTGTAAACATCAATGACATATAGATAATGTGTGTACTATCAAAATAAGAGATGAGGACTTCAAAAAGAGGATAGAAAAGGAAGCTGAAAAACAAAACAAACCTAAGGGTGATCTAGAGAAAGAAGGTACTAAAGCTATACAGACTCAAGACAAGGACAAAACAGAGACAAACACTAAGACACAAGATCAGCAATTGATAGTGACTCAACATACAAGCCAACAACATACATCTGTTACTAGAGTGCAGACACACCAAGAGCTGGAACAAGTAGACCAAGAAGAGCAATGGCAGATTCAGAAGAGGAAACAACACAGAAATCAGGATCAGGCTCACCCCAAGAATGCATGGAGACCTGTCTCACCTCCACCCAAAAATACCAAGGATATTATGCAAAAGGCATCAGCAGTACCTGGTATAACTCCTACTATCTCTATTCATAATAACTACATTAATTTAGAAATGCAGGAGCAACAAAGCATAGGAAATAGTGCAGAATGCAACAAGAACAAAACCTCATACCAAGAGCTGCAAGCAACACAAGGGTCAGATAAAGACTCACCATCTTTCAACCCCAACAACAAAGCAGGTAAGCACAAGAAACATAATACAATCAGTAAAAACACAGGTATGGACTATGTTATCCCTACAACCCAACACCTCACTATAAGTTCTGTGAAAACTGTTATGTATGCTGATGAAGCTGAAGGAGGGATGGATAGGGGATGTAAAGAGAAACCTATTAACTTGCCGGAAAGGGTTACCAAAGGGGGGAATTTGACTCATGTTCTGCATGAGGTTGATCACACTGACCCTAGGTTGGACTATAGAGCCCCTGCTACCACTATTGCAAGACACAACAAGCAGAGTAATCAGAAACAACACAACCCAAAGAAAGGAGATGATACTGGTCAGCTGTAGGAAGAACCAGGGATACAGAATACAGAAAACTTGGAACCTCTGCAAGATGATGATACTGGTCACCTTCAAGTAAAACCAGGGTCACAGGTTGATAGGGATAATGATCAGAAACTGCAGGGTTCAAGAGGTAATGATGGTCAGAACACTCCTGATAACGAACAGAATGATGAGTGGAATCAGACTAGTCTAGAGAATCAGCACCAACAACACAACAAGAACTCTCCAGGGAAAAATCCAAGGAAAAAAAAGACAAAAATCAGACTATGATGTGGTAAATTCAGAGGATGAATTTGATGAGGACACTCAATCTCTCAATGAAACTTATGATGATGAGGAAAGGGATGAAACCAATGCTCATTTGATCAAGGCTTTTGGGTCTACTTTTCGTAGTGAATTCTAAGCAGAGATTCAAGAGGTGGCAGATCAACAAGGCGTATCTCCAAGGGGTAGAAAACAAGTTAGAGAACTCATTAAATCAGCATCTATCAGCACCTCTGCTAACTCTAGCAGACCTAACACTAGGTCCAAGAGCAAAGGTTTTTAATGATTAGTACAATATGTTGGAATGCTAGGAGCATCAACACCCAAGGCTCTTTGGAAAGACTCCAAAATTTCAAGAAAATGTATAATCTTTCTATGATATCTATTCTTGAACCTTTTGCAAACAACTCTCAAATCAACCAATACAAACTCTTGTTATCTATGGACAATGCTACTTGTAATCACAATGGCAAAATTTGGCTTTTTTAGAGCAATGACATTGAAGGTGAAGTATTGGAAATGCATGATCAACACATCACTTGTTCTATGAAGCATGGAGCATAAAGAAAAGTTTGTGGTTTCTTACATTTATGCCAAATGCAGAGAGCAGCTGGGAAGACCTCTCTGGGACAGATTGTTCCGCTTTTCTAACATGGATATCCCTTGGTGTACCATAGGGGATTTTAATGTTATTACATCTACTGAGGAAAAGTATGGAGGTATACCTTACAACATGACAAAAGTCTAGATTTCATTAGCATTATTGAGGGAAGTGGACTAATTGATATTGGGTATAGTGGTCAGCATTATACTTGGTGTAATCACAGGGCAGCAGAGGCTAGAGTGTGGAAAAGGCTGGACAGAGCTATGGTCAATGATAAGTGGCTGGATCTCATGCCCCAAACTACCATTACTCACCTCCCTTCTGTTGGTTCTGATCATTGTCCACTACTCATGGAAATGGAAGTTCGACTAGAGCACAAAATCATGTATTTTAAATTCCTTCACTGATGGACAAAAAATGAGAATTTTTTAGATACAGTTAAAGGGTGTTGGCAGAAGAAGATCTCTGGGAATCCTATGTGGAGACTACAGCAGAAGATGAAATTATTAGCTTCCACTTTGAGTACTTGGTCCAAGAAGGAATATGGCAATATTTTTTCTAATGTTGTTAATTTTGAGGAGCAAGTCAAAGCTGCTGAAGAAGATGTCATACAACAAAACACTGAAGAAAATAGAACCAAGCTTCATATTATCAATGCTCAATATATCAAGTATATTAAATTGGAAGCTTCCATCCTCAAACAGAAAACTCAACTCCAATGGTTCAAGGAGGGAAATACTAATTCTAAATATTTCCACTCCATAATGAGGGGTAGGAGGAGAAAGCTATTCATCCACAACATTTGTACTGCTAAAGATGCTTGGATACAAGGAGACTGAAACATTGCTAAGGTTGCCTGTGACTACTTCCAAAACATGTTTTCAGGCCATGAAGACAGGATCAGGGAAGAAATTCTTAATTGCATCCTAGAATGGTAATAGAAGAACAAAATCAGACACTCCAACAGATGCCTACTCTGGAAGAATTGACTCAAGTGGTGTTCTCCATGAACCCAAATTCTGTAGCTGGTCCGGATGGTTTTGGAGGAAAATTCTATCAACATTGCTGGGAAATTATCAAAGAAGATGTGTTGGGTGCTGTCCAATATTTCTTCTGTGGTTATACTATGCCTAAGTTTATGTCTCATAACCCTAAACCCTAAACTCTAAATTCGAACTGCAAAACATGAACCTAATATGCAAAAAAGAAGCCTCATCAATTCATGAATTTTTTCTCTCTAAATTTTTTTTTCTCTAGAATTCTTCAAGAAATTAGCTATCTCATCTATATTCACAAAGTTTCAGCATCGATAGAATGGAAAAAACGTTGCCAGATGATTGATTCAGGCCACTAGACCCTTCTACAGTGATGCACACGCCAAATATACATCCTCAGTTACCAGAATTGTCTTCAGCTTCATCCTACAACTCCTAACAAGTGAGAGAAAAGGCGATTCACACTGTGGCGAAAAGGGAGTTGGATGGCACTCACACTCATATATCCATGGAAGATTCGTGTCAATTTCAAGGAAAAGGGGCAGGTGAAAAAGATTTTCAGTTCCAAGATCGACATAATAACCCACATAATTTCACTGTTTCAGTTGAGTGAAATACACAGGCGATGGTGACGGGCTATTCATCCCAAAGGCGCCACCAAAATCAAAGTAATATCAAGGTGATTCGTGATGATTCTGTTATTGGGGATTGTAATATGGGTCATGGAGGTCATAATGTTGAAGCTGGAAGGGTTCCGGTGACAAATTTGGGAAATCTGCAAAACGAAGAGGAAATGGAAATTCAACATAGAGAAGGAAAGCATCATGTTCAAGATTTGGGACAATCGAGCACTTCTCAGATAGATGAACAACTTATCAAGAATCAAAGAAGGAACACAGGTATACCTCCTGATAAATCTCATACACCTGTAATTCCTGCGAGTTAACTTCATGTGAATACTGGTAATGAGCAGCGTAGAAAGGAGAATGAGCAAATTTGGGTTGCTAAAGAACAAAAGAAAAATCACCAGCAAGTTTATCAAGAGAACTTTCCTAGAATTTCTAGTATTTTTGATAAATCAGTTCAGAAAGTTAATGCAACTAATGTTAGATATGATCGTCCTACTGGTAACATTCCTAATCTTCCCAAAACTGATCCATTAGCTGCTCCTGCACCCTATACTGTTGTACAGACCTATGCTGATAGACTTAGGTATAATTAGGCCAAAAGTGATTTTTCTATTACATTGACACCACCTGAAATTACAACTAAATAAGGTTTGCCTGCAGTGTTGTATGTGAAAGAAGAGGTCATGAAAGATTTAGCAGCCACCTACAAATGTACCCTCATTGGGAAATTTAGTAACACTATGCCTAAAGTGGAGATCATTAGGAATAATTTCATCTTACAAACTCAACTGTCCGGGGGAGTTAAAATTACCCATTTTAATTCTAGACATGTATACAATGATCTTGATAATGAGCTTGATTATAATATGGTTTGGACTGAGCAAAGGATGAGTATAGCAGGGCAGGTAACGAGAATTCAACTGTGGACTCCCAATTTTAAACCGGCTGAAGAAACTCCTATAGTCCTTATTTGGATTTTCTTACCTGGGTTACCCTGGCACTGCTATAATAAGGACTTTGTTTCTGGACTGCTTTCACCTATTGGCAAGGTTTTATTCTTGGATTCTGCATCTATTAAAAAGACTATGGGTAGTCAAGCAAGTGTGAATGTCCAAGTTGATCTTACTGAAAAGAGACCCCCTTACATTTGGATAGGTTATGTAGGGGAGGATATCACTGATGGGAGATGGCAGAAAATAGAGTATGATAATATTTCGGATTATTGTTTCTACTGTAAACACCAAGGACATTTGGAAAGTGACTGTACCATAAGGCAAAGAGATGAGGACAAAAAGAAAAAGGAGTTGGAGAATGTGAGGAACAAGCATACTAAAGATAAGGATAATAATCCGCAACAATCTAAGGGTTATAAAGAAAGTGAGCAGAAGGAAGATAATAATCAATATTATAAGCAGCAAAGAGATCAGGAGCACATGCAGTATCCACAAGATGATTAGTGGCAAACACAAAGGAGAAGGAACAATAATCAAGCACAGACTCCTAGAGACAGTACCATCCAAGCAGATCAGTCCACCAAACAGACAGGTATAATTAATATTCCTACTCAAAATACATTTATTAATCTTGATATGCAGGAGTCATCACCTAGTTTAGAGGTTCTGGACAAATACAAAGGCATTAAAGGTGATAGCAAACCTCAGACAGCAGCAGCTCAAGGGCAAGTTTAAGATGAGTATAATAGAAAGTCAGCAAACACAGGACAGCACAACATTAACAAGCCTGTACAGGAGAATAAAAGTTTTACACAGATACCACAGATTAATAAAAGACAGGAAGTGTCTACAGGACAAGTTGTTACAGGTATTGACTTAATGCTCCCAACCCCTAACCCCATTACTAATATTGATATTATTGCTGAGGTACCTGTTGGAGGTTTGGATGAGAAGGGACAGGAGACACCTACTAACTTGCAGGAAGGGGTTTCCAAAGGGAGGGGGGAATTGACTCATGCTAGGCATGAGGATGTGGATAGTGACCCTAGTGGAGACTATAGTGCCCCTGCTACCCCTATCAATAATCAACAACAAATAGTCACTCATTAGGTTACAGATACAGGGCAACAACACGACAAATTTAATAATAAATCTGGTGACAGGTTGAGTAAAAAGAAAAGATAGGCTATCAAAAAGAGACTGCAACAGAGTATGGGTAAGGAATCAGATGTTATAGTTGCAGACAAACAGTTCTCTAATCAAGATCAACATATGACAAATATAAGACAGAATGATGATGAACAGGTTGTTAATAAAGGTAATAAAGGTAAGAAGCTTAAGGTGACTCCTGATGATTATGGGGTTCTTAATTCTGAGGATGATCTTGATCCTGATAACCAATCTATGGATGATTCTGATGAAGATGCAGATGACATCATGACACATGTTGATCAGGTTGTTGGTTCTACTTTTCGGGATAAGTATTCTAATGTTCAATTAATGACTGAACAACAGGGTTTATCCCCAAGAGGAAGAAAACAAACTAGACATCAAACTAATAACCCTGTTACCAACATGTCTGACAACTCTAGCAGGCCCATGACTAGGCCCAAATCAAAAGGTTTTGAATGATTAAGGTCATTTGTTTGAATGCTAGGAGAATCAATACCAAAGGATCCTTGGAAAGGCTTCAAACTATCAAGAAACTACATCAGCTATCTATTATTGCTATTCTGGAACCATTTGGTAATAACTCTCATATAAATACAGTGAGAAGTCAATTACAGATGGATTATGCAGTTAGTAATGATAATGGGAAAATCTGGCTATTTTGCACTAATGAGGTCATTGGTAGTATTATGGAAACATATGATCAACATATTACAATAACATTTCATCACACAGATATGTCTAAAAAATTCATAATGTCCTTTATCTATGCTAAATGTAAAGAATACATGAGGAGATCCTTATGGGATAGGCTTATGTTTTATGCTAATACAGAATTACCTTGGTGTACTATTGGTGATTTCAATGTTATCACATCTATAGAGGAGAAGCTTGGGGGAATACCTTACAATATGAATAAGAGCTTTGAATTTATTGGAGTAATTGAGGCTTGTGAATTAACTGATTTATAATACACAGGACTTCCATTCACTTGGTGTAATAAGAGGGATGCAGAAGCTAGAGTTTGGAAGAGATTAGATAGATCTATGGTTAATGATAAATGGTTAGAGGTTATTCCTCAAACTACTATTGAGAATTTATCCTCTGTTGGTTCTGACCATAGTCCACTGTTGATGGAAATGACTAAAGTTATTGAGAATCATATTAAATATTTCAAGTTCTTACATTTTTTGGTTGACATTGGAAATTTTTTGAAAACAGTACAACAGTGCTGGGAAAAGGGGGTCAATGGCAATCCAATGTGGAGACTGCATCAGAAAATGAAGAGAATAACAACTACTCTTAGCAATTGATCCAAGAAAGAGTATGGGGATATTTTTTCTAAGGTCAAGGAATTTGAGGAAAGTATCAGACAATCAGAGGAGGAACTTATGACAAACAATAATGAAGATAGTATATAGAAACTTCATCAGATAAATACAAAGTATATTAGGTATTTGAAAATGGAGGAGTCCATCCTTAAACAAAAGACTCAATTACAATGGTTTAAGGAGGGACATGCCAACACCAAATATTTTCATGCTTTGATGAAAGGTACAAGAAGGAGGTTATTTTTGCATAAGATTTGTAATGATAATGAGGAGTGGATACAAGGTGAGGAGCAAATAGCACAGGCAGCATGTGAGTATTATCAATAAATTTTTCAAGGCCAGAATTATAGAATAGATGACAGAATCCTTCAGAATATTCCTACAGTAGTCACTCCTGTGCAAAATGAGATGTTGCAACAAATTCCTACTATGGAGGAACTCAGACAAGTTGTGTTTTCAATGAATCCCAATTCAGTAGAAGGTCCAGATGGTATCGGGGGTAAATTTTATCAAGTTTGTTGGAGTATCATTAAAGAAGATTTACTGGCAGCTGTACAATCTTTCTTTTGTGGTAACATTATGCCTACGTTCATGTCTCATGCATGTTTAGTTTTATTGCCAAAAATAGCACAGCCTACAAAATTCACTGATGTTCGACCTATCAACCTTAGTAATTTTGTCACGACCCGAGAGCACCCCCTAGTCGTAACTGGCGTACTCGACCTCGAAGAGGTCTAATACTAGCCTCTTAGCATTCATTC